TCTGCTTCTGATTGGCTAGTAGTCCTTACCTGTGAACTGCGCATGTGTAACTCCCAACAAAGATTTTGTACAAATAAGATGCATCACTCTGTAGCTCAAAAGCGGAGCGTACAACACACAGGGTGAAAAGAGGAGCTGCAGCAATGTGCAGTATGAGAAAAATATGGTGTTTTTTGAAAATGAAACCATGTAAACCTGTTCTGGTACAGTTTGCTAGAAGGCTAACTCTGAGAAGAACGGAAGGAGTGGTCGGACACTCTCGTCAAAAATAGCGAGAGCTGATGTTGGGGAATATAGCTAAATTCGTGCTAAATTATTATCGATGCAGTCAAAAACTCTCCATCGGCAGCCACAAGCTTTCGCTTAGCTTTGGCTACCTAAAACTAATAAGTACTAGAGGCTACGTGACACTAAGGTGAGGACTAGAGATTTATTTCTTTATTTTATTTCAAATTTTACTGTATTAATCTTTTCAGCTATGCTAAGACTACATCTCTTAAAGTGTAAGAGTGCTCTGGCTATCATTTCAGTAATGATTTATATCCTCGCAATGCATACATTAATGATTGCATTTGTCTGTTTCAAAGATGTCAGGGAAGAAGCAAAAGAATAGTATGTCATTCTGGGCACCAAAGAGTCAGCCCCCTAAAAAGATGCCAGATCAGAGGAGGAGATGATGGAAGAGGTGGTGGAGACGGTGGAGAAGACAGTAAGGGAGACAGTAGGGGAGAAAGTGGAAGAGACCATAGAGGAGACACAGAATGAGTCAGCGGACAAGACAAGGATGAAGAAAGCATTAAGCGGAGGAGCCACCTATCAGAGGTGCTCACAAGTCTTTGAGCTAGAGTCCAAGTCAAGTCTCCAGTCTCTCAGTTATAATGAATGTTGTATCGCCTGCTGCGTTCAATCCAGGTTGCTTATAAAACTGCATAGCTATAAGGAATTCTGTAACTGTAACCTGTTTTTCATTTACAGAGCACAACCATGTCATGTGCAATGCAATTACTGACAGCTTATTAACTACTGTAAGCGAACACACCCCCAGACTCTCAAACCCAGTGTAACGTATATATATATATATATATATATATATATATATAACTAAATAAAACTGTAACGTTGCATGATCAGCAACAAACCTGTAACCTGCTTGCAGCCACCGTTAATAATCAACGTGATGGCAGCCAGCACCACAAGTTTGGCAAGTAAACAAATGCTCATTCATCTTTTCATAACACCATAACCTCCCGGAGGTCATAGCTAAAGCAAGAAGCAAACTAACCCTAATTATTGGTTACATTAATAAAAAAAACTGTTATGTTGCATGGAATTCTTATGATTTATTGCTTTAATTAACCCTTTCGGTTGCAGACAAGGAGAGCTGAGGTTAAGGTGGCTGTTGTAATGGTGCAACTGCCATTTGCAGTAGCAGGCCATTTCAGCCTGTTGTTAAAAGAGTGCTTCAAAGACTTCAGCACTGCACAGAATTTCAAGTTTGCAAGCACCAAAACAACATGCATTATCAATGAAGCAGTGGCACTGCATTTTAGAAATGAATTGGTGATGAAGACAAGGGAAAATCCAATTCACACTGATCACAGATGGGTCAAGCGATACAGGTATTAGTTTGACAGCTATTGTGTTTCACACATTCTTACACACATGCACCCATTTCTTTACAGAACACACAGACTCAATTTCAGCCTGATGTATTGTAATTATTTGAAACATGCACTATATGATTGCACTCACTGTGCTGTTTTCATCCATAGGTATTTGGATATGTGCACCACTAGTTGCTGTAGCTGTGGCACAGCTGAAGTGATCTATCAAAAAATTTATGAGCTCTTGCAGAGAAATGCCATACCATGGGGAAACTGTGTAAGTCCGTCCAGCGATAATGCACCTGTCAATACGGGAGCAAAAAATTCTATTGCATCAAGAATTCTGAATGAAAATGGAAACATTCACATCCATGTGTGCCCCTTGCCACATCATCCAAATAAGATTGATCATATATGCTGATCTGTTTAATATATATGCTTTCCATGACCTTTAATGCTAAGGAAAAGAGTTAGTTGTGCTGTATTGTATTGAATCTGTTAACAAAATGGAACGTTAATAAATGATCCTATATTTCAGGTAACTGAGGATCTGACTATGAATATTGGACACTGGTTTAGGGAAAGAAGCACCAACCGTAAGGGATACCTGTCAGGTTTTAAGCAGCACCAGTGTAGTACAAAGGAAATGTATAAGATTTTCATTGAATTGTTTTAGGGTTTTATATTCTCATCACAGATTTTTGTGACTTCCACGGTAGCGAATATATGGAAATGCTACAGCATGTTTCCATTCGGTGGTTAAACCCGGAGAGCTGTGTAACTCACATTCTGCAGCAGTATGAGCCACTCACCAGCTACTTCAAGTCTTTAAGGAGGCTGCATACTTCATTGACACTAATGTAAGATTATTACTATTAAGAGAATGAAATGTAAACTTATGCAGTGTGCACAACCTGTCCTTTTTTATTCACAGATGAGAAACAACCAAAGTTCTGAAGGCTAGTGTATGCATTTTCCAAACCACTAACAGAAGTGTGCCTTCTTTTTTATCAAGCTACAATGCCAGCCTTTTCCACCTTGAACCTCCTCCTCTAGAGACAGAAGTCATCCATCCATCTTCTCCATGAAGAGTTAAAATGGGAAGTTTGGCCCATGCTTCTGCCAATAATGTGTTAAGTTTGGTCATTTTTTCATTAGCTTATATGTCTTTGTTCAAATGGTATATGAAAATGTTTTCTGAAATACAACGTTCTAGATGACTTGAGGTTTCTAAAGCCAGTAGCACTACATGTTCGAGAATTGCAAGACATTCACTCCAAAAATCCAGTGAGCCAGCTCGCAGGTAATGCTCCCAAGATACATACTTCATCCTCTCAATGAGCACAAAGAGACAAAGAGTTTATGAGAGGACTGTTCATTCAGTTATATCAGTTTGGTGATGTTGTCACTGATGTGATGGGATATAGTTAAAGAGGGGGATTGAAGTTAGCAATTGTGATTTTTCTCAGATGTTAAGTGTTATGGCTCGCCGCATGTTCTTTTAGGCGGTGCGGTGGTGCAGTAGTTAGCACTGTTGCCTCACAGCATGAAGGTTGTGGGTTCAAAGCCCGGTTCCTCCAGCTTTTCTGTGTGGAGTTTCCGAAATTGTCCTTAGGTGTGGATGTGAGTGGTTGTCTGTCTAGTGTGGCCCAGCAATGGATATATGTTCCTTTACTAATATTGTTATTACTAATTTTGTTATGGCTTATAGATATGTATTGTGTTTTTATCCTTAACCTTTCCTCTGCTCCTTATGTTAGTCTGTCCACATTTACTAGGGTTCAGGTCAGAGCTGTGAGATTGTTTTGGTGTTTTCCTCTCTTGTTGTTCCTCTCCTCTCCTGGAATATTCATTCAAGGCTGAGAGGATCTCTGTTCCCCAAAAGAGAAACCTAGACTGTGTAAATGATGATGCATCCCTTTGCTCGGGGCCAGACACCGAAGCTGCCCTAGGCGGCAGGTCTCTGGACCAGCTGTAAATGTGTTGTAGTACTTCTCTGTTTATTCTCTTTTGTTAAATAAATTCTTCAAAGACAACAGTTGATTGTAACTCAATTCTTTGCTCAACCCCTCACCAGGAAGATAATTTCCAAGACATTAATAAACTCTGTAAAGAAACCCATGGAAGAAAAATATTCTTATTAACTTACCTGTTTCTACTTCCTGCTGCTTTATCTCTTTGGTAGGAGAAAGGAGTTTCAATTTTTACAACTGTGATTAGTATACATTAACAAACATTTTAGTGGAACTGCTGTAACAAACGTACAGCTATATGGTGTGCATAGTGTCATAGTGTTGTTTAAAAAAGGACACGTTACTACCTGCTTGCAGGTCTAGATTTATTTTAGGGGAGACCAGGTATGGTTGTAACATGGGACATGTAAGAACACCAATTCCACCGATTGGAGGTAAGATAGAACTTACTAAAATATAGCATTTTTTTCCTTGCTAATTTCAAACCGCTATTCTAAAACAGCTAGCTAAACAATGGCTAACAGGGGTGGGGCTGGTTGTAACACGACTTTAAAAATTGTTACAACCATCCCGTATACATACAACTAGGAAATTTCTTGATTTTAATATTTTTTCAGAGTACCCTATGCAGTCTCTGGCCCCACCCAGCCTGCACTCCAGGGTTACCAGGATTCATTTGTCAGCCCTGTGACCAGTGCTTGAAGTGGTGCCAGTGCTTCCAATTGACATTTTGTTCACATGTTGGTGTGTATTAGCACCTGATCCTTTCCCGACCGAGAGGGAGTAGAGGACCGGTAGCTTGTGAGAATTGCCGGTGCGCAAGAAAAAGTCCCGATACGCAGGTCCTCAACTGCGTACCGGTGAGTACCAGCCCACTTCAAGCACTGACTGTGACTCTGATTAAGAACATACACACATTGACACACACAGCCACTCACACACTGATGTTTTTTGTTAGACCTTAAGATGTAGGCTACAAAGATTTTCTTTAATTAGGTATATTGGAATAGTGTTTAAGTATACTGTTAATTAACTTTGTTCTAGTGGACAAATTTACATACACATGCAAGTCATCAGACATAGTCAGACATAATTTCACTATACCTGTTATTAAAGTGTATCACATGGTCCATCCATTTTTGCTTCTTTTGTCTAATTGTTACAACTTACCCCAGCATGTGTTACATGAACTCAAGAGGTCTGTGATATTGTTGAGGACTGACTTGGTGTCATTTGTAGTAAACAAATATGGGTATTTTTTTTTCAGTTATAACTGCAGAAGCAAATAGTGTTACAACCATACCCGGTCTCCCCTATTATCCTGCCTGTCCTCAGCAGTGAAGGCAGTCAGCAGCCTCTACAGGACTCAACAAGACAGGCTTTTTTTTGCAGTGGGCTGCACATGGTTCGGCTGCTGTGTGCTCCTGAGCCAGAAAAGCCCATCTGGAGTCTGAAGACCAATCAGAGCGCTTATCTAACGTCACCATCCCGTCTCTCCGACACTCCTTTACCACAGTCCCTCGAGTCTCACTCTCTTCCTCCTGCCTCCGACAGGAAGATGGTACCGTGCACAGAGCGTCCTGCACGCGGACCGAAGGCGTCACTGACCGACTCTCTGCGGGACTTTTAAACTCATCATGCCGTGTTACTCTAGGGTTCTGCTTTTACTTTTGTGTTTGATCCTGATCGGGGAGTGCAGGAAACAGAAAAGTAGGAAAAAGCGGTGGTCCGCACCGACGGAGACTCACAAGGCAGGCAGGTGAGTACTGAAAACCTTTGTTTATTTTAATTTGATTATTGAGATGTCACCTCTGACATCATATGACAAATATCCAGGAGATCAAGGAAAACATTGTTTACTTCATCATACCTCGCACATTTAGGCACAATTCTGTGCAATAGACCAATGACAGAGAAAACAAAACAAACATAAAATTCTAGATGAGGCAGCAGCTTTCCCTCAGCTTTCCCTCATTACATCATGAATGTAAACAGTTGTGTGTAATCTACGCATGACCAAAATCTGTTAATATCAATTCCCAATCTAAATCCATTAGCCTAATGAGGTCGTGGTAACGAATACATGCCGTCACATCGCGGTCGCACTACTGTTTTGGGGGGTTATTTCTTGGAACCAAACCGACAGCAATTACGCCGTCCGTGAGCTGCGCATAAAAACTGCAAGCAGCAAAGACAATCCATCTTTCGAGATTCAGCACACACTTTCACACCTGTCACTCTAAGCATTTTAGGGGCCCCAAATCTAAGCAGAATTGCATTTTACTGCCAAACCAAAACAACTATCACCTACAATTAAAATCACAAATAATTCAACCTGGTAAACTTTTCAATGCAACCTGTTCAGTGTTTCTTTTAATAGGCAGTGCAAAGAAAAAATGTTTAACTGTCAAAAGAGAGATAGAATTTAAAATAAAACTTGACAACAAAAAATGTTAGAGGGCTTCACATTTATAATTTAAGGTCTCCTATGAAGCCATGGGCAGCTGCTTGAAATGCTGGTGCCTTCCCCTCCCTCAACTCTTAAGTATAAAGTATACATCTGTCAACAAATCCCACGTGCAGACAACAACGAATATATCCTATTAACAACTATTGTGTTTGTAACTTAAGTCTGATATATGTTAGTCCTCTGTGACAAAGAGTTCCATTGTTGTCCTTAAACTATTAAACACATTAAGCCACACTGTTGCACTGGGTGACATGTTCCTTCTTTGCCATTTTGACTCAATCCCACATACACCATCCTGCTGTCCCAAATACTCACTAGAGCACCAAATGGGGATTAATCCACCACTGAAAATGGTCCCCAACAAAAGCACTATTTCCTCCTGTTAGGTTTGTTAAAAACCGATGTGCCCAGCTGTCCGGGAAATTGCAGAGCCTTTCCAAAAATCTTTACTATATATTTGTGAGCTGTTGATAAAGATATTGAGCTGAAAGCCACAGACAGGGTATGGAAGTTCAGCCGGATATATGTTTATGTTTGACAACTCTGCACCTCATAATTTACATCTGATGTCAATAACTATAGTGTCATGTAGAAGGTAGTGGGCCCTTTATATAAACAGACCGAGTACATTGCATTATTTGACACCCATAGCACACACCAAATTAATCCTACAGTCAAGGTTGATTAGCTGAGAGGTGCTGATCTTGAAAGTAATTAAATTGCTGCTTTGTGGACAGAAGCGTGTCAAGAGGCCATCATGGTTACAATACTAAAGACTTAGTTAACATTATGGAAACATTGTGGTTTAAATGTTGATTCACGTTTGGAAAGAAAACAGAATTCCCCAGTGTAAAAATTTCTGGTGATTGGTTTACCCCTCCATCCTCACTGACCTCCTCCTTATGCAGATTTGTCGCTCTATAATAACATCACCTGGGGCCTGTACCACGAAGCAGGATTTGAGCTTATGGAGGTAACCTCGGGGTTAACCCTGGGTTTTCAGTACCACGACGGAGGTACACTTCTTTCTGGGGTAGATCGCCATGGTAACTTTGGCTAACCTGCTCCGGAGCAGGTTATGTTCCAGATGAGAGATGACCTCTATAAAAGCACAGCTTACTGACCAATCAGTACTCTTGGGAAATGACATCACCATCCGTAGGAGATCCCACAGACTGTTTTATAGGCTGCTTTATGTTTGCTGCGGTGATGCGGAGAAACTTTGTATAGCCTGGTGAGATCATCGTACAGAGACTTATTGAAGAAAGCCTTGTAGGCTACTTTTTTATGTTTTTAAGATATGACAGTAAGCATATTTACCACTTAAAATGTGTTTTAATATTTTTTATTTGCTCCCAGGTCCGTTTCACACAGTCTGTTGCAGCCGTTAAAATAAATGAGTTTAATTTTTCTTGAGGCTGAATATTATGAGCGTATAGTTTGGTATTTTGAAATGAAGTTTAATATGATATCTATTTTAGGTTAGTGGCTATCTTTTATTATAGAGACTGGTCAGATTCCCCACCTTTTGCTCTGTGGGTGCAGGTAATGTGGAGGAGTTTTCAGTAGCCTTAATGTTCAGATTCAGTCTTTCAAACACTATTTGAGCACAGTTTATGGCATGAATGGATTTTTAATTACGTTGTTATTAAAAGGTATTTTAGAACAATGTTTGGAACACTTTTGAGTGTGTTAAATTAATTATTCTGAGGAGAAGTGAGTTGGAACGAGCACTTATTCAGTGCCCGAGGCTTTTAATGTGGAAACGCCTACACACAGCCAAGCTTAAAGAATAATGTAAGATTGTCATTGGCCTACACAGATATTATAGTATTATATATAATATTACAGTTTGCTCATAGTTAAAAAAATAAAATATGATGCTCTGCTGCCAATGGACATGTCCGTGACTGCGATTTGTCATCTGCTACTAACTCTGCCTATTTTATGTGAACGCACTAATGGCTGGATTGGGAAACCCTGGGTTGACTTACCAAGCTGATAACCAGCTTTGTGTGACCGCTTATCCCGATTGTGATTGTTAGGGTTAGTGAAGCCAGATAACGAAAAGATATCCTGGGTATGTTGAACTTGCTTTGTGGTACAGGCCCCTGGTTGCTCCCTTTATAATTACAACAGCCACCAGACGGCTTTGTTTAGAGTAGGCTACTTGCCTACTCATTCTTCGTGGGAGGACAGTCTTAGAGGTCGCAGTAGTGGATAGGGTGGAGCTCATATGACTTTTATGTGTGAGGCAGAGATTTACATTTTGTCACAAACCAGCAATTAATGAATCACTGTATTCATAAAAAAAAACATTAGCATTAGATGTAATCCAGAGGGCAGCACTGTGGTGCAGTTCTCACAGCATGAAGGTCCAGTGGTCAAACCTTGGGCCTGGGTCTGCATGTTCTCCCCGTGTCTGTGTGGGTTCTTTCCAGGTGCTCCAACTTCCTTCCACAGTTTAAAGACATGCAGGCTAGGTTAATTAGTGACTCTAAATTGCCCTTAGGTGTGAATGGATTGGTGTACCCCGCCTCTTGCGGGATTGGCTGCAGCCCCCCTGCAACCCTGCACAGATAAGCGGTTATAGATAATGGATGGATGGGTGATCTGTTTATTTAATTACAGCTCACGTAACAAGGAATTAAAAAAAAGAATAATAATAAAAATATAAATAGAAAATATAGAAATATAAAAAGATTATTGAAAAAAATGAGGTATAATTATAATTATTATTGAAGATGTTGGAAGGTTTTTAGAGACAGACTGACACATTATTGGTTTTGGACTTTTCATGCAATTGGTTAAAAATTATCCAGCCTTATCCTTTAAGACCAAACTCTAATGGCCCTTTAAAAACCTCCCCTCTCTGTCTGCTGGCCTCTTGCCAGTCCTCTGTCAAAGAAGGCTGTGGATGGAACCAAAACCCGAAAGGTGAAGACGACACACCTTCTGCGCATCGACGAGCATGACTTCACCATGAGGCCCGCCTTTGCAGGTAAGTTCTATGAGCTTTTGGAGACAATGTCGCAACTTCAGTCAATCAGTGATCATGTTCGTAAACTGTCCATTGCTGAATTTAAAGAAGAGTATATTTCCACAAGATAATATTAGGTTCACCCTTGGTTGAACCTGAGTGTGAAGTGAATATTGATACCATGCTGACTGGGAAAGCAGAAGCAAGTTTATTTTTCACACCTGTCTTCTCTTCCACTCAACTGCCAAACCTAAAGAGTACAATAAGACGAGATGTGAAGCTTGAAGCCACAAGCAAAAGAAAAAAGTTTTTATTACAGCGTAAATCCATTTTGACACAGAGCTGAGCAGAGGTCCTCTTGCAGCATCTTGCAAAAAAATGTGAACCTCTGATCGTAGCTTGTGTTGGACTGAAGTAAAAGTCAACCAGCATGTTGTGTGTGCCTCTGTGTCCTTGCTTTACATGATGAATGTCAGGACAATGGCACTGCTGCTGGGATGTGGGGAGGCAATTTAAAACAAGAATCTGTGGGTTAGCAGAAACAGGCCGTGTTTAAGCACAGGAGGAGGGGAAGAGCTAAATGACACGCCCCACAGTGAATTTCATGCTCCTCTTGGACTACAGTTGCAGCCACAGATGGGAACATGGACCCCACTGAGGATCACTTTTTGTCTTGCGTTCGTCAGCATATGTTTGCTGGCGGTTTGCAGGAAGCTTCTGTAGCAGCAAAAGAAAAACAACGCAATTGTCTTATTCAAACATTATCAAAAGCTGATTTGTGTAAGCGCCCCGCTGCTGCCTGTGAGACTGGAGGTAAAAAAAGAGGAAAAAGGGTGCAGCAGCTGCCGTGGGAACAACTGCAGTGTTACTAATGAAAGCCTCTTACACTGCCGCTTCCCGTTCACTGGGGCAACGATATCAAGAATGACGATACATGCCGGCATAGGGATGGAGAAAATTCATGTGTCACTATCAGAGAAATCCTGACCGTGGAGCAGTTTATTGTCTAAATGTACTCAATAAACTGCTTGTTGTGATCCCATAGCCAAAAGAGCAACGGTGAATGAGGTCTGAATTATCAATAGTGTGCAGTTGGAGCTGTGAATGTTGATAAGGTTTCTGTTATCCAACTTAGACCTTTGCTGCTCCTATTGGGTGGCCCCCTACTGTGGCCTGACAAATCAAACACATACAGGAAGCTGAAGGGAGACATAGGTTCAGACAGAATATTTGTCATCATATAAAGTTGTGATTTCCTGGGTACATCTATTTATGGTGCTCCCTGTCTGCCTCGGGTTTAAAAGACATTTGATGGCATGGATAGACATGGCATGCATTAGTCACATTTGCATTAAAAAGAGAGAGCATGTTTTCCCCCATTTCACTCATAGGATCTGAAGAATCCTCCACCAAATGCATCCTTTCACTTGGACTAATGTGTCTCGGGTAAAACAACAGTGGATTTACAGTGGCTAATCCTCCAAAAGAGGAGCAGTCCCGCATCATTAGGTGGAATGGATAGGGGTTTTTTTCTCCCTCTATTCTCGACACACCTGAAATTAAATTACGTGAGGACAATTCAATCTGTGAAAGCGTGACTTACTAAATTAACAAATTAATAGACTACAGTGCAGCTGTAATCTGAGATACTTGACTTTCTGTAAAAGCTTTTGACAAGTAATTTACAAGATGAATTTATGTTTCAGGATCAGCCGTGTTGTCTGTAAGGAGGATGACGGTCAGGTTTATGTAACCAGAAGCCCTGGAAGAGAAAATAACACACTCTTCCTCTTACAAACTCTCACTTTAAAGCAAAAAGCAGAAGCAAAAACACGGCTATGTCCAAAAACCATTCGACTGTATATATTTTTAGGCTTTTTGCCTTTATTAGTTAGAACAGCTGGAGAGAGGGGATGACATGCTGCTGCGGTAAGGACTTCTGCCTTCTATATGTTGCGCATGCTCTACCAGGTGAGCTAACCAGTGCCCCGTGGTTCCCAACCTTGATGGATTGTGACCCCTTAAAAGTACAACGTATAAGAATTGAGACTTCTCTCCACCTTTCGAATTCATACTCCAAAAAAAATAGGGGGCAGCAAATCACAAATCAGGCTGATAATTGCCATCAGATTATTAGCTCAGTAAGTCCGAATGGGCACCTGAATTGGAGCGGGCGAGTAGGCAGTGGAACCAAGCTCAATAGTTTCCCAATGAACCATGGTCTTGGAGGTTGTGTTCTGTACACGGTGATTTACAGCGGTCTCCGACCAGGACTCTGACTCCGGGGACGACAAAGACATGGTGAGGTTCAATCGAGGCAGGAGAGGTGTAACAGGCGTGAAGTTGAACTGCGAAGTTGGACGCGCTATTGAGGAGGCTTAAACGCATGGGCGCTATGCCTGTCGCTAGCACGTCTCTTAAGGCATCAGGGAGTGCAGTTTACTCACTGCACAGCCTAGATGGTTACCGTTACAGAGGCATCAAGCGGGAGAGGAGCCAGAGGAAGCTCGGGCATCAGAGAGGCAGTGACACCGTCTAGAGCCAGAATATTTATCTCAGTTGTGTTGGAACAGTTGTAACTAACCAAGATGGTTTTGGTGAGTTGTATTTTGTTTCTGTTGAGTTTGTTTTATTTAACCTTTATTTAACCACAAAGTCCCATTGAGATTAAAAAATCTTTAATCCAAGAGAGCCCTGACCAAGACAGCAGCAACACATTGACAGGAATCCATCCAGCCAAGGGAGAAATTATAAATTCCAATTGAATTAGCCTCCAAAACCTTCACTAAATTTTTAAATTCTCTGATTTGGATAAGCCTATCTGAAACTGTCTGCAAGTGGTTCCAGGTTGCAGGGGCAGAGTACATGAAAGCCTGTTAGCCCATTTCAGTGGGACAGGCAGTTAGAGGGTGTCATTTGAGTGCAAATTATAGTTTTAGGTGGTGTATACCCACAAAGGTAAGAGGGGAGCAGACTAAGATGGACTTACAAATAAATATGTACCAGTGAGTGAGTCTGCGCAAGGCCAATGAAGTCCACTGAACTCCACTGGACTCTGGGATAAAGGGTGCAATGGTGAGTGAGAGTTTGTAGCCTCAAACCTCAGAGCAGTACACCGTATCCAGCTGATGCAAGCATTGGGCAGAGGCATGCATGCATAACAGATCACCATAGTCAAGCAAGCAAAGGAATGTAGCCTCAACCATTTTATTTCTGGCAAATAACATCATAGAGTACGGTCTAGACCTGCTCTTTTATGAAAAGCGCTGTGAGATAACTGTTGTGATTTGGCGCTATATAAATAAAATTGAATGGAATTGAACTGGCAACAGGGGAAAGGCAGGATTTGCTTCTAAAATAAAAACCAAGCTTAAGCTTTAATTTTTTATACTAAGTTTTCAATATGAAATTAAATCAATCAATCACCGTTCAATCAAAAAATTGAACTGTGACTCGGGAACATTTGGACCCAGGTTGTTAACATAGATACTAAAAAAACTGGACCCAGAACAGAACCTTGAGGGGACACAACATGTAATATACTGGAGGAAGTGCTATCAAATTGGACATGTTGTGTCATTTAAGAAAGGTTATTTTTCAACCTAAGACAACCCAATATCGAGCAGACGTTGCTTCATGATAGAGTGGTCAACTGTATCGAAGGCCTTTGAGAGTTTGATAAAAACAGCAGCACAGGGTTTTTTGCGATCCAGTGACTCAGTTATTCTGTTAACAACCTTAAGGGAAGTTTCCTGAAGCCAGGCTGGTACAATAAGAGAACATTATTAGAACTTGATTGATCGTTCACCAGTCCAATCCAATAAGATGGTTACATTGGAAATAGGCTTATGATTGTTAAGTGAAGTACCCCCCACCCCCGCCTTTAATAGAGGAAGAACATGTGTGAGGATCAGGTGCCCAGTGAAAGAAGATGCCTGTGAACTTCCTTGACAGAACAAAATGAAATGGCTGACCATCAAAAGTACAATCAACAGTCATGCCTGAAGGCGAGACTGGTTAATCAGGGAACCAGAGGCGATGAAGTGCTCATTTAAATATTCCAGCACAGCAGATCTTTCAGAATTGGAGATGGTGTCCTTTCTAATGCAAGGAAGAAGTTCATTGTGAGTATCAGAGGCTAAAATAGATTTGATAGCTTTTCAAATTTTACAATTCATACTTGGCTCGTCTGATAAATGAAGTGAAGCAGTTGCCTAAAATGGAGCTGATCAGTCCCTGTTTCTCTAGCCTTTGCTCAAGCCAAATTCTCCCATGAAGAACCTAAGGAGGAAAACTAAGTGATATCTTGTCCCTTCACTTTAAACCTTTGGTGTTATTTATTTACAATAAATGAAACCCAGTTATAAAAAGGTTACCAAGCATCTTTAATGTCATCCATAAGATTTCTCCCCAGTCATGACATTATTAACAAAAACACTTAAATCTTAGAGTACCTATGGGGACATTTGACAGCTGACATTGGTCACAACATAAGGTCCGGTGCTGCTGACCTGCCACGCAGTTGTGCATTCACATCAAGGATGGTGCGTTCAGGTAATGCGGTAACGCAGCGTTAACTGAACGTGTAATATTATTACTGATTTGGAAATAGTCAACCCTTACACTAGTTACTGGGAAAAGTAATAATATTACAGTATTGATAGCTGGCCACCTAAGTGGCTGGCACATCTAAGTGTGGGTCACTGAGATGCGCCAGCTAACTGGTTTTACCTGAAAGGCAGCAGACCACTATCCCAGATTTAGCGCAGCCTCCTGTTTCCCTGGCCCCTGCTGCCCTGTCGACAGCCTCCAGTACTGCCTGGCCTCCAGAGGTCTGCTGGCAAAGCAGGAATTCATATGTTTGTTATTTCAGCATCATTTAGATCCGTTTATTGCAACTAAATCACAGCAAAATCTTTACTTTGGTTTCATACAGCTGTAGTAATCGCGGGTTGTGCTTATTCGCATTATCGCGTTGTGTGTGAACCCTCGGCAGTAGTCCAGACATAAAACCCTCGTGA